AGCGATCGACGCCGAGCTTTCCGCCGCGGAGGAGGCGCGGTTCGACGTCCTGCGCGAGATCAACGCGGAGCTTCGCGAGGAGGAGATGCTCCAGGCCGCCCTGGACGACCTCTCGGCGCAGATCGCGCAAGCCCAAGCCTCGCTGAGCGAACTCGGCGGCGAGGGCTGCCAGCATCAGCTACGCCAGCTCCAGGACGAGGTGCAGGAGTGGGAGCAGCGCCTGGCCGCGGTGGAAGAGCTGCAAAAGAATAGCGAGCCCTATCAAAATCAGCAGAAGCTCCTGACGGCTTTTGAGGAGCAGAACGCGGTGGTGGCGCGGCTCCGGCGACGGATGGCGCGTGAAAAGCAGAGGTCCGGTGGGAAAGCCGAGGTCGCGGCGCTTCGTCGGCAGCTCCACGAGAGCAAAGAGGCCCTGGCCACGGCAATCCAAAACGACGTCCGCCCGAGGCTTGAGGAGATGCAAATCGAGACGACCCCCGAGGACAGCTTCACCACCATCGTCTACGCCTTTGAGCGGGTTTGGCATCGTGTGAAGGAGCGTTTAAGTTCGCTTCAAAAGGAGACCGCCGCGTTGGATTGCGAGGCCGCGGTGATGGAGAAGGACTGCGCCTCGCTCGCGGAGCGCCTCGTCCGGCAGGAGGACGAGCTCCATCAAAACCAGGCCCAGTGCGCGGCGGTTCTCGGCAGTGTGGATTCGATTGCCGAGTACGACGCGCGCCTGCAGGAGGCCAAGCGTGCCGTGGAGGATATCCACCAACGGCGCCACGCGATGGACGCGATCGCGCGGTGTTATCAGGACTTTGTCGATATCGCGACGACCTCGAACCTCTGCATGGCCTGCGAGCGCCCGTTCGAGGACCCCGCCGCCTTGGCGCGCTTTGTCGAGGCCCACGCGCGGCGCCAGGCGGCCTCCCCGCAGGCGATGGACGCGATGGACCAGCGGCTCCAGCGCGCGCAGGAGCAGCTTCGCCGCCTCGAAAGCATCCGCCACGCCGTCGAGGCGGTCCACCACCTCCGCCTCGCGAGCCTTCCCCAGGCCCGGCAGTCCTTGGAGGAGCTGAAGACGCAGACGGAAGGCCACGCCCGGCGCCGTGGGGCGGCCACCGCGCGGCTCCGCGCGCTCGAGCAGGAGGCGGACGGCTTCCACCGCCTGGACTTGACCCTGGCGGGCCTCCGCCGGGCCGACGGCGAGCTCGACGCCCTCCACGCCCAGCTGCGCCGCCGGGAGGCCCAGCTGGCGGAGTCGCTGCGGGGGGAGGACGACGAGGCGGACCCGCAGCCCCCGATGGACGTCAGCTACGAGGCCCTCTCGGAGGACTACGAGGCCGCCATCGAGGCCCTGCACCGGCTGAACCAACAGCTGAACGCCGCGCAGTGGCGGGCGGGCGGCGCCGCCGCGCCGGACCTCGCGCGCGAGCTGC